TGCATATGAAGATCGTATACCTCTTTCATCATTTGTCATCAAAAATATTCATCATGTATTTACAAGTAAATTTTACCAAGATGAGGGACAAAGGCAAATATATACGACTTTCATGCCCTATATGTTTTCACGATGCATACAACAGACATCTAATAATAATCGACGACATCACGATGAGGCATAAGATAATCATATACCTCTTTCAACATTTGTCGACAAAAATAATCATGTAAATACAACCAATTTTTACCGAGATGAGGGACAAAGCCAAATAAATAGGACTTTCATGTCCTATATTTTTTCCTGATGACTACAACAGGCATCTAATAATAATCGACGACATCACGATGAGGCATAAGATAATCATATACCTCTTTCAACATTTGTCGACAAAAATAATCATGTAAATACAACTAATTTTTACCGAGAGGAGGGACAAAGTCAAATATATACAACTTTCATGTCCTATATTTTTTCACGATGACTACAACATGCATATAATAAGAAGATTGTATACCTCTTTCATCATTTGTCGACAAAAATAATCATCCTGTAAATACAATCAATTTTTACCGAAATGACGAACAAAAGCAAATATTAGGATTTTCAGGCTCTATATTTTTTCACAATGCATACAACATACATCTTGTAATAACCGTCTCAATTTTTCGTAATCAGGATGAGGCATAAGAAGATCGTATACCTTTGTCATCATTTATCGACAAAAATAATCATCATGTATATGCAAGAAATTTTTACCGAGATAAGGGACAAAGGAAAATATATAGGACTTTCATGCCCTATATTTTTTAACAGTGCATACAACATGCATCTAATAATAACCGTCTCAATTTTTCCACATCAGAATGAGGCATAAGAAAATCGTATACCTCTTTCATCATTTGTCGACAAAAATACTCATCATATAAATACAATCAACTCTTACCGAGGTGAGGGACAAAGGCAAATATATAGGACTTTCATGCCCTATGTTTTTCACGATGACTACAACATCCATCGAATAATAACGGTCTCAATTTATCGACATCAGGGTGAGGCATAAGAAGATCGTATACCTCTTTCATCATATGTCGTAAAAAATAATCATCATGTAAATACAAGCAATTGTTGCAAAGATGAGGGACAAAGGCAAATATATAGGACTTTAATGACCTATATTTTTTCAGGATGCATAAAACATGCACCTAATAATAACCGTCTGAATTTTTCGAAATCAGGATGAGGCATAAGAAGATCGTATACTTATTTAATAATATGTCGACAAAAATAATCATCATATAAATACAAATAATTGTTACCGAGATGAGGGACAAAGACAAATATATAGGACTTTAATGACCTATATTTTTTCACGAAGCATACAACATCCATGTAATAATAACCGTCTCAATTTTTCGACATCAGGATGAGGTATAAAAAGATCGTATACCTCTTTCATCATTTGTCGACAAAAATAATCATCATGTATATATAAGCAATTTTTACTGAGATCAGGGACAAAGGCAAATATATAGGACTTTCATGCCCTATATTTTTTCACGATGCATACAACATGTATCTAATAATAACCGTCTCAATTTTCGGCATCAACATGAGGCACGAGACGATCGTATACCTCTTTCATCATTTATCGACAAAAATAATCATCATGTAAATACAACCAATTTTTTCCGAGATGAGGGACTAAATCAAATATATAGGACTTTCATGCCCTATATTTTTTCACGATGACTACAACATGCATATAATGAGAAGATCGTATACATCTTTCATCATTTATCAAGAAAAATAATCATGTAAATAGAATCAATTTTTGCCGAGATGAGGGACAAAGGCAAATATATAAAACTTTCATGCCCTATATTTTTTCAGGATACATACAACATGCATCTAATTATAACCGCCTCAATTTTCCGACATCAGGATGAGGTATATGAAGATCGTACTTCTTCCATCATTTATCGACAAAAATAATCATCATGTAAATGCAACTAATTTTTACCGAGATGAAGGACAAAGTCAAATATATAGGACTTTCATGGCCTATATTTTTTCACGGCGCATACAACATGCATCTTATAATAACCATCTCAATTTTTTGACATCAGGATGAGGCATAAGAAGATCGTAAACCTCTTTCATTATTTTTCGTCAAAAGTAATCATCATTTATACACAAGAAATTTTTACTGAGATGAGGGACAAAAGCAAATATTTAGGACTTTCATGCCCTATATTTTTTCACGATGCATACAACACACCATCTAACAATAACCGTCTCAATTTTTCGACATCAGCATGAGGCATAAGAAGATCGTAAACCTCTTTCATTATTTTTCGTCAAAAGTAATCATCATTTATACACAACTAATTTTTACCGAGATGAGGGACAAAATCAAATATATTGGACTTTCATGTCCTATATTTTTTCACGATGACTACAACATGCATATAATAATAACCATCTCAATTTATCGACATGAGGATAAGGCATAAGAAGATCATATACCTCTTTCATCATTTGTCGACAAAATTAATCATGTAAATAAAATCAATTTTTACAAAGATGAGGGACAAAGGCAAATATATAAAACTTTCATGCATGAAGGTCGTATACCTCTTTCATCATTTATCGACAAAAATAATCATCATGTAAATACAACCAATTTTTACTGAGATGAGGGACAAAGGCAAATATATAGGACTCATCTTATAATATACGTCTCAATTTTTCGTCATCAGGATGAGGTATAAGAAGATCGTATACCTCTTTCATTATTTGTCGACAAAAATAATCATGTATACACAAGAAACTTTTACCGAGATAAGGGACAAAGGCAAGTAAATAGGACTTTCATGCCCTATATTTTTCACGATGCATACAACATGCATCTAATTATAACCGTCTCAATTTTTTGACATCAAGATAAGGTATAAGAAGATCATATACCTCTTTCATCATTTATCGACAAAAATAATCATCATGTAAATACAACTATTTTTTACCGAGACGAGGGATAAAGGCACATATATAGGACTTTCATGCCCTATATTTTTTCACGATGTATACAACATGCATCTTAACTGTCTCAATTTTTTCACATCAAGATGAGGCATAAGAATATCGTATACCTCTTTCATCATTTGTCGACAAAAATAATCATGTATACACAATAAAATTTTACAGAAATGAGGGACAAAGGCAAATATATTTGACTTTCAGGACCTATATTTTTTCATGCATACAACATGCATCTAATAATAACCGTCTCAATTTTTTGACATCAGGATGAGGCATAAGAAGATCCTATACCTCTTTCATCATTTGCGACAAAAATAATCATGTAAAAACAATCAATTTTACCGAGATGAGGGACAAAGAAAAATATATAGGAATTTCATGCCCTATATTTTTCACGATGACTACAACATTTATCTAATTTAACTGTCTCAATTTTTCGACATCAAGCTGAGGCATAAGAAGATTGTATACCTCTTTGATTATTTGTTGACAAAAATAATCATGTATATACAAGCAATTGTTACCGAGATTAGGGACAAAGGCAAATATATAGGACTTTAATGACATATATAATTTTTCACGAAGCATACAACATCCATGTAATAATAACCGTGTCAATTTTTCGACATCAAGATTAGGTATAAGAACATCGTATACCTCTTTCATCATTTGTCGACAAAAATAATTATCATGTATATACAAGCAATTTTTACTGAGATGAGGGACAAAGGCAAATAGATTGGACTTTCATGCCCTATATTTTTTCACTATGCATACAACATACATCTAATAATTACCGTCTCAATTTTTTAAAATCAACATGAGGCATAGGACAATCGTATTCCTCTTTCATCATTTGTCGACAAAAATAATTATCATGTAAATACAACCAATTTTTACTGAGATGAGGGACAAAATCAAATATATAGGACTTTTATGCCCTATATTTTCTCACGATGACTACAACATGCATATAATAATAACCATTTCAATTTATCGACATCAAGATAAGGCATAAGAAGATCATATACCTCTTTCATCATTTGTCGACAAAAATAATCATCTTGTAAATACAACTAACTTTTACCGAGATGAAGGACAAGGGCAAATATATAAACACTTTCATGCCCTATATTTTTTCATAATGCTTACAACATGCATCTAATTATAACTATGTCAATTTTTCCATATCAGGATGAGGCATAAGAAAATCGTATACCTCTTTCATCATTTGTCGACAAAAATAATCATGTATATACAAGAAATTTTACCGAGATGATGGACAAAGACAAATATATAGGACTTTCATGTCCTATATTTTTTCACGATGCATACAACATGCATCTTATAATAACGGTCCTAATTTTTCGACATCAAGATGAGGCATAAGAAGATCGTATACCTCTTTCATCATTTGTCGACAAAAATAATCATGTATATACAAGAAATTTTACCGAGATGATGGACAAAGACAAATATATAGGACTTTCATTCCCTATATTTTTTTACAATGTATATAACATGCATCTAATAATAACCATCTCAATTTTTCAACATCATGATGAAGCATTAGAAGATCGTATACCTATTTCATCATTTGTTGACAAAAATAATCATGTAATATATAAGACTTTCGTGCCATAGATTTTTTCACGATGACTACAACATGAATCTAACAATAACCGTCTGAATTTTTCGACATCAGGATGAGAAGATCGTATACCTCTTTCATCATTTGTCGACAAAAATAAACATCATGTAAATACAACCAAAGATGAGGGACAAAAGCAAATATATAAGACTTTCATGTCCTATATCTTTTGACGATGCATACAACATGCATATAATAATAACTTTCTCAATTTTTCAACATCAAAATGAGGCATAATCATCATTTTTTTAGACAGATGATGCGTTGTGCTCACCAACATTGTACTTGTACTTTTGTACTCCCCATCTTTTTTAATTAAAAGGAATTTTCATACTAGAAGTTATTTATACTAAAGAAAACAATAGATCACCCTTCAGCAAACAACATAAATACAAATTACTGAACATAAATGTCCTAGCATAGAACCAAAGTCATTTTTCAATTAAAGTTTTATGTGTCGTGATGCAAATTTTAATGAATGGAACAGAGATAATTCATGTTCCAAGCCATTGAAAACAAAAAATTTTGTGCAATATACCTGACTGTGTATTCCGCTGTCAGTTACATTAATTAACTGTAAAACTCGAGCTGAAAGTTCAGCATCAAGTACTTCCTGGGATTCAACACTGCATATAAAAATGTTAAAAGTAAATAAGACTACAAACAAGTTGATACATCATATGCTATGAAGACTGCTCAGAACTTATTTGGCAGTCCTCCATATTCCAAATTTCCAATTTGCAAAGGCAAGAGCTGAAAACGTTTTTACCTACAACCAGTACACTGTTTTATTTTAAGAATTGCAGCAATGATATGAACAATCCAAGCAAGTTTATCTTCAATCACAGTGAGGTCACTGTTATCAGGAACATGTAATCTTGCTCTTTCCTATTCCAATCAATAGTTAAGCATCAATCTTTAATTCATTTCTCTCAACAAAAAAAGTACCAGCCTTCATTGAAAGTTATAATCACACCGTGTATATTTGCAGGACTGGCTCCATTATGTTTATTATAAATAAACTACTGCTTTCATACTGCACAATGAATTCAAAGGAGTCAAACAACCAACATAGTTCAATAAATTGCAGCAGAACTGAAAAGGACTAAAACTTAAGAATGAAGAGTTTCCCATGTTGGAAGCTAGATTATATTCAGTAAATGAGTAAAAACAATGATATCTGTCCGACTCCTTGATCAGCCACAAGGTTTGGACTCAGTTGGATGAATTAATTCAAAGTTCACTCTTGATGGTCATTTTCTCTCTGGTTGAAAGGTTAACCCCTCTTTAGTAGGTTTCAAGTTTAGAATCAGAAACACTCTAAATACCCTTTTTGCTTAAGATTAACAGCCAATTTTCTCAGTATAATGAATATCAAGAGAATCATTGATTTTGAATATAACAATTTATTATATATATCAGAAAGAATAAGATATCCTATGTAACGAGGCAACATGGTAAACTGAAGGGGGAAAAGGCCATATCCAAAATGTTAGAGTTAGACACCCTTCTATGCATATCAGCTAGAAAGATTCCCTCAAGTAAACCACCGCATATCTGATTTCAATGCAAACTGTAACAGACTCTGTACAAATGGTAATTTTTCATTTTCAACTTTCTGAGGCAGATCGGCATAATTTAACAATTGCTCAAACTCAATCAGATTTTTTGTAAGTAAATTCTTACTTGCAACTCAATTTGGCAAGATTGGATTAGCAGTTATTGATGTGAAGAGATAGATCCATAAATCCTCCAACTCTAGTCATGTACCAGTGTGTTGTCAGGTTTGGTAATGATTGGCAGGAAACTGTTGGGCTGTTTCTTATTGGGACTCTAAGATTCATAATATCCCAGAATTTGGAAGGGTGACTCATTTTCCATTGGGAGGATAACTTGCTCACAGGAGAGGTAAAATTTTGACTCAGTAATTTGGTGCCCAGAACCATTGCTTCAGAGTAT